AATAATAATAATAATAATAATAATAATAATAATAATAATAATAATAATAATAATAATAATAATAATAATAAAAAAAATAGAGTAAACGGAATTTTTATACGTTAATATAATTCAGATTTTTAGTGTGTATACACTGCTTACTCAGTCGCATCGAAAGGATATAACTGTATGGGTAAGATACGCCTCCTAGTCACGCCTGTGTGATATGTACGAAAAGTGAGTTCCTGACCTATATAACATCCTTTCCGAAAATCAACTAAAAATGTAAATGAAATAATTAGCATATTAATAATTAATGGTAAGTTCAAGCAAATAAATTACAAATTATAGTTCTTATATTTATTAAATCACACCTACTTCCGCCCATATAATCAAAATTCGATTGTAACGGCAAAGCTTTTTCTGGAACAAAATCATCAATTCCCTCGGGTACTCCATGCAAAATACGTCGAATAACATATTCTTCAGAAGGCAATTCCGTGAAATTCGAAGTTAAATTGGCTGTTTAAAAATCAAAACTCAAATTAAAAACATTTCTTGAAATGAAAAATCAGTTATTTTGAGCTCACCAAAAAGATAAAAGTAGAATCTAAGCAAACTTACATACGTTTCATGTTGGCCGGCATTACTATTCGCAATCCCATTCCTGCACATCTTTGGTCAACGTATCCACTTTTAGGTAAAGTTGAATTCAATGTCAAGTTATCTAATATATTTTTATTTCCCCATATATTCCAAATTTTGTATTCTGATGAGACATCTTTGATTGCTACTTTTGAGCGAAGAAGATATTTTTTCAAGTGTTTCGTAAATTCAGGGATAATTCGCAAATCACATTCCACAAGAAATACCGGTTCTGGTGATCCATTCTTTTGATATATAAATGCATCAAAAAGAACTCGTCCCTTTTTTGAATGAGTAGTAAAGAATTAGAACAAATATCATAAATTGCACTGCTAAAAGTGAATTAATTACCATTGAATTCAGGAACGCAGTGTAGAATACGTTTACACCCGTATTCATAGACTTAATGTCATTGGTGATCAGCCCCTGCAAGAATTTCATAGTATCTTCGCCAGCTAATTCCATCAAACCACGCTTTGGAACTTGAATATAATGTTCTCCTTGGTGCACAGGTTCCTCATCTATGGCTTGGGATGACGGTTGATTGGTGGTTATTTGTGAAGTATTAAATTCACGAGCTATAAGGGTCCTTCTCTGACTAGGATTCTTTAGGAAATTTCTGTTACATAGGAGGGCTATTGAGAGTCTTTGAGGGTAAGCCTTTATTAATCAATTTTAAATGAAAAAAATAAATCAAACTAGCGAGTATTTGCAAGACAAATCTTTTGTTGAAACAACTAACCAAAGGATGTTTTTGGTTTCAACCACCTAAAACTATTAAACTTGTTCATGTTCAATGTTATTAAAATAAACTTTTTTAGATGATACTTGATCATATACATTTAATTTAGCCTTATCCAGGAAATTTTTTGTTTCGTCAATCTCATCATGATTTGAATGTCCAATTAGATTTCTCTTCAATAAAATTTTATTACAATGAAGTCAACAACGCCAAAATTAACAAGCGAAGCTACGACTAACACTGATACATATGAATTTTTTTGGTTGCTAGCTTCGCTCGATAAAACTGAGAGGCAAAAAGCTGCGAAGGAGCTCACATCACATCTATATAAACTTTACAATGAGCACCGAAAAACACAAAAGATTGCTTTGTTAAATTTTAATTTAGAGGAAGGAACCAGTAAAAATAAAGGAGCTGAATTTATTAGGTTTTTCATTATTAGCTAGATCAATTAACCATTTAATTAAAGATTAATCGATTGTTTTATGTTTTATTTTTAGAGTCACCGAGATACTAGAAAAGTATTATGGTCCTGATGTCGTGTATTCGTTGATAAGACTTACTCGAGGTTTGTCCAGTTCCCGACAGGCGGCGCGACATGGTTTCTCACTAGCTTTAACCGAGGTGATCATTTAATTACTTCTACTTTTTGTAAACAACGACCGTATGTTTATGTTTGAATATTTTTAATTATTGTTATTATTAGCTACTTTCGTGTCTCGAGTCCATGTCATATAAACTGATTATGCCGTTTATCGATGAAGCTTGTCCATTTTCGTCAAATAAAGAACAAGTATAAATCCATATTCATCTTTATTCTTGTTTACTTTATTATATATTAGATTGAAATTATTAAAAATGCAATCTTTCTAATAGGAAAATTCAGATACACTATTCGGTCGCGTGTTCGGATACACGTGTATCATACGATCAGGAATCCTTTGGCGGGATAAATCTAGTGAACAAGATTTCCGTGAGGTAATTGATGGATTGGTGATTTGTTCGCAACGTAAATCCTACATTCGGGAGACATGTTATCATCTTATTATATCAATGCTACCAAAGGTAAGAGAATTGATATATTAATCTATAAATTTGTCTGAAGGTTTAATCCAAGTTTGTGACTTTTTTATATTAATAGTTGAATGAGCAGATATATAAGATTAGTGGACTCGAATACTTGATACAACAAACATTTGCGCATTCTAAACATGGTATTCACAAACCTGATGAGCTTAATCTTGCATTAGCAATACAAGAACTATTCCCGGTAACTATCAATTATTTTATTTGAAGTTTTAGAAAAACATGAATATAAAATAATTATTCTGCTTAGGATCGTACAATTACAACTACAAAATTGACAAAATCAGAGCCAGTCAATAAATACTGGAAATCTTTAGTATTACACAATAATAAAAAGTGCGAAAACTGTAAATCTAATATATGGAAAAACCAGAATATTCTTTCTCGTGATAATTTAACGAGAATTATTGAGGCTCTTGAAGTATGTTATTTTTTTCCCTTTTAATTTGCGCGAATTATATAATTAAAGTACATTTGGTATATTTGAGTAAACAGGTGAAGTCTTCGAAAAAATCCCACATTAACGACAATAGTAGTGATAATGCAGAAAAAGACAAAGATGATCAGTATCAAGAAGGACGACTTCACTCTGTATGGGATAGAATTTTAAGAATATATTTTCGAGAAAATGGTGCTCATAAGTTACCATTTGAAGAGTTTTGGAAAGTTGTAGTTGATGGTAACTAATATTTCTTCAATATGGTTTATTGAAAAGATAATATTAACCTTTGATTGAATAAAAACTTAAAGAGGGCCTCTTCAACAATGAGGCGACGCACAAAAGACGATTTTGGGGATTTCAGTTATTTGAAAAATCCATAAATATAATGCCAGAAAACCAGATTTCCGTCATTTTTACGAAAAATTTCCTACGTACCCTAATGAATAATCTCTCTTCCGGAGATCGATATTTACATCAAGCTGCCTTGCATACGGTAAAATACAACAATAACAGTAAAATATAGATAACCAAATTGTTAATTTATATTTCCTTTTTTTTAATTGTTCTACTGCTTACTTATACATAATTGCTACCAGTTATCGACAATACAACAGTATGTAGTCGAACACAAATCCACAGCAATAACTTTAATTCTCCAACTGATTGGTAAAAACGGAACGCGCAATTTCGATCAATTGACAAACTCAAAAACAGTTGAGCGCATGATTTCATGTTTGGATGGAGACGGCGCACTGTCGTTTTTAAAGTATTTAAAGCGACTGTTTTATACTGTTGAAGATGTAGAAGGGGGATTTATTAATGGTAGTGCTAATGGTAAAGAATCGGAGCTCGATAAACTACGCACATGGACAATTAACCAAATGTATTCGTTACTAAAAAATCATGGCGTGGAACATCGTGAAGATTGGGTTAAATTCATATTTGATCATTTTCTTGTTCACGGATTTTTTTTAAAGAAAACAAACGACGACATCAATCATAATAAAAATAATCTTAAGAGAAAACATTCGAACGTATGTGCACAAGATAAAATCTATCCTCATTTTTTTTCGTCTTCGGTTTTGATTGAGTTTAAATATTTTGGGTTTATTTTATAGCCCGAAAAAACTTTGAATAAAAAAAAGGTTAAGCTAGAGAATGGGAAACATCACTATAACATTAATAATAAAGATGATGATTTAAACGATAATTTAATGCCGGAATTTTCGGAATCTATAAGAGAATTGTGTAGAACGCGATTTTTCAATGCTCTCGGAGAACTGAATACCATGAATTCATTTATGGCCGGTAAGTAAATTTTCAAAATATATTAAATTATCAGAATGTTGAAAAAATAATCTATATCAAATTCAACATTCAAAAGAATCAAATAAGAATGAAAGCACCAACGAAGACAATAAAAAGTTTATTCGTAAAAAAATGCTCGGCACTACAAGCACCGGACAAAGTTGGGCACGATACGCGGTAGAACGTGTTCAAAACTTGCAACGAAATCCTGAATACAAGCTAACCATAAATTTATCCGATGAGGCTAAGCAAGCACAAGAGGATGCAATTTTGGTGATTGAAAAGATTGACAGAGAATTAAAGAAACTTGAAACTGAAAAAAAACGCAATAGTGGTCGAAATGATAACAAGAGTAAAAGGAATAATTATAATAATCCTAATGCCGAATCTCAGTATAAAGCATTTGAATTACTTTATTCGCACGCATTCTTAATGTTATATAACGAACCAAAGGAGGCTACAATGTTTTTACAGGTACGAAAGTGTGTCTTCGTGTTTTTATTTTACTTTACTAGTTCTTAAATTATTTCTTTATTATCTAATTAATAAAGGATTTACATGAATGCTACAAAAAAGTATTCAAACTCGCAAAAAAATCTACGAAAAAAACCAAAGATACAGAATCAACACCTGAACCTATCGAAGTTATTGTTGATATTTTACTTGGATTTCTTGGGAAACCTTCGGCAATGTTGCGTCGTCTCGCTGAACAAGTTTTTGAAACTTTTTGTGATCAAATGACTGAGACATCTTTGGATTTGTTTTTGGATGTATGTCTATATTCTACACTTCTATATTTTTATATATATATATATATAAATTTCCCACAGTTATCTTTTATTTAAATTAGGTTTTGGAGACTAAGGAAGGAGCTGCAGGGCAAGAACAATTATATGAAACTATGGAATTGGATGATGATGATGATGATGATGATGATGATGATGATGATGATGATGATGATGATGATGATGATGATGATGATGATGA